AAGTACATATTATGTAGTAACATTGTAAAATAGATATGTGAAAATCTACTCACAATTATAACAAGGCTAAACAATATTTCAATCTTAAAGCAAAATTATGCCCTCCACAAGCCGCTTTAACTTCGCACATTATAAAAGATTAGGCAATTATGTGTAGCTAAAAGTTGTGTATTTGTTTGTGAAGTGAGCGTAGCACATTTGCATACATACGAACAAAACACGGCATGAGAGTAGACAGGGGTGTTGAAGGAGCAAAGTTCCTTTCGTATAATGAAGATGAGCGAAGATGTTGGGTAATCCGCCACATTGGAACGTAAACTTAAAACAAACCGCAACCGTGGCTGGTTTTCAAACTTGACTTGTTGCCTTGAACTTATTTGTACTTCACGTCAATTTTCAATTAAAGATTATATTTTATTCATATTTCTTCATATAATGGTTGTTTTAATAAAACATTTGTTTTATTTTATAGAATAAGGTTGACAAACGAGTAGACACTCCACCTGATGGTAAGTGGATACTATGGCAAATAGACACCCAAATATCTCCTAGATTAAGAATCAAAGTGCAGATGCGTTGGCACCCCTGAGGACTAAGCTGGAATGCCTCATTTCCAGTAAAAGGGTTTATTCATCATCATCACCATTATCAGCCTGCGGCAGTCAACTTCTGGACATAGTCCTCTCCCAAGGCGCGCCACTTATCCTGATCTTCGTCTTCACTCATTCATTTGCTGCCAGCCACCTTGCGCAGACCGTTGCTATTAATACTTAGAAAAGAAAAAAATTAACTACCTTTTTATAAATTCTGGAAAGCGGAGGACTGATGGAAATGAAAAAAGTGGTGTGGAACAGTATCTTCCTGATGCCGAGAAATCTATGGAGGAGGCAAATGTCCAGCAGTGGAATTTTGATAGACTATAGTTGAATGATTGAATGAAAATTGTAAAAAGTAATGCTTAAACATTAAAAAATCTAATACTTATCACACTTAATTGTACAAAATAATATATTGTAAATTAATGTTTACATAAAGAGTCCCGTTTAGTTTCTTGCTGATTCTTTCCAGAACAGAGGTTTCTTTCCCGAACCAGCGGTTAATCATAAATGGTTTTCAATAAGTATCCTTATTTTATTCTATTATATTCTAATGACTGGTGCTACAAAATTTGCCAGCAGGTGAGGTATTAAGAGAAAAGGTTGCATATTATCGTTAAAACCCGTTTTGAATAGAATTTAGATTTATCATTAAATTTTAACCTAAGTTACCTACCTATTATAGTAGAAAACTAATAGCCAATCACTGCTAACTTTGCCTTAAACATTTAACGATGTAAACAGCACACAAGTATGAAGCCGTTTTTGTTATTTTGTAGCAAAAACATGATAGTAAAAAACTATGTATATGAATACAGAAATATTTATCACGCCTGCTGATGCCGTTTTTAGAAATAAATAAGGATATATTGTAACTTACAACTTCAACTCAACTTCAGCATTCTTATCTGGTAGTAACAGCACATTTAAATATATTAAATTATGGTACTATATATAAATAAATATTTTTGAAAAGCATCAAATACATATTAACTTAATATGTGCATTTTTGATCACAGAGCGGTCCGTCATCGACTCTCGATCAACTTAGATGTTTCGTGATGCTGACTAAAATTACCAGATACTCTGTGAAGGTTCTCGATTACATTACAATTATAAGTTTTTATTGGAGAAACAATATTACAAAAGGCATGATGTCTTATTAATAAATTTGCTTTGAATATTATTTTCGCACAAATACGGGCTTAATAAACTCGGGTCTAATATTTAATCGGTTTAACTGTTTGGCAGTGTTGTTGTTAGAATTGAAAATGTTACCACGCAAACTTTCCCGTACAAAACCCTTAAAGGCGATTCGGTAATTTTCAAACAATACTAATATCTGCTATCAAAGATAATAGAATGAATATCATTATTAACAGGAGATATACAATAAATTTATATTTAGTAGTAAGATAAGTGTCTTTTACTGATTACGTTTTTAAACTTTCAAGTTTTCATTAAATTTCAAAGAAATACTTGTGAACATTTCAGTATTTGAGTCATCGGTCGATCACTCACCTGAGGAGACATAAAAGTGTTATGGTTTATTTAGAGTGTTATCATTTAGGAGCATAGTCCTTTTCAGGTCTTGTCAACCCACTTGCGAGTCCCAACCTGTGTTACTTGTCTAATCAGGCTTGTATATAATACTGGTTGATACTTTATTGTTACTTTATTATTACACATATTATTGTCGCTGGACATAAGCTTTATACTGTATCGGTTGCCACAAAGCATAGCATAAAAGAGCCGTGATAGCTCAAGGGCTAAGGGCTCGCTATAAATTTTACAGTACGCGAGTAACCCGGGCTAGATACCCGCCGGCACCAATAAAATTGTTAATTGCAATTTTAAGTGCTGATTTAACAATTGCTCGGCGGTGAAGGAAAACATCGTGAGGAAACCTGAAAAAAATTACAAAATACAATTGGGGTAGCGCGACAGACATTTACTTGCCCTAAAACCCTCTCAGAAATGAGAGGAGGCCTGTGCCCAGCAGTGGGACTTATATATGCTGTAACTTTAACTTTTTATAGCATAGTTCTGAACTTTTTAAATAAAACTAATTTTACGGATTTTATCGCGTATATTAACTTATTTTTAACTTATTTTTATATTCCCGACGTTTCGGGTGCTTTCCAGCACCCGTGGTCACGGGGGACTGAGTTGTTTGACGTCCTGCTGTCATAGTTAGCCCGGCTACCTTCAGTTTTTTATTACTCTGCATTTATTTATTATACTGCATCCATTGCCTCTATAAACACCTTAAAGTCACTCTTTTTAAGTCATATATTTTGATTGTCATTCATCGAAGTGTCGATTATTGAGCTAGGTATATAGCTGGTCTATTACAACATTAATTAGTGGTTAGTGATTTATAACAGAAAATGAAATTAATATTTTTTAAATATTTTATTAATAATTATTATTATTTACATAATTTATTTTCATCAAAACATGGATTTCAGGGTTATAAGTTAAATACTGTACATAATTTATTGTTTATAATGTTTTGATTTGAATTGATATAATTTTTTTTATATAATAAATTTATTGATATAATATGGATAAGATAAACAGTAGAAAAACAAGCATAATTATGCTCTAAGGGCGTAATGTATTACAAAAATACTGATGCGTTACAAATAACTACTAGTTACAAGGTTTTTTCGATTGTTTCATGAAATTGAAGTTTTAGCAATTATTATAAAAATTAACCTGACTTTGACCTGAGACTTTTGAGTAAATGCAAACGCTGCAAAACTAATTATTCCAGCAGAGAGCGTTGTCAGGAAGTCGAAATCAAAGCTCAAATGATCAGAAGAGGGTAACTGTGAATAAAATCGTCTATCAAGCAATGTAATTTTGGAAAATTGTTCCCGTCTATGAGAGAGATCCGTGTAAAATAGTGGACTCTTCTGGACTGATAGAAAACAAAGAATGAAATTGTTATAAATTCATATATTATATTAAAATATTGCATTATTTGAAAACGTAATGAATAATTTACTAATTACTCAGAGTGTATTTTCAAAATTACTATTTCATGTACTCGTATTTTATATTAAACTAGCTGTTCCTCGCGACTTCGTCCGCGTGTAATTTAGGGTTTTAAATCTGTTGCGCGGAACCCTAATTATTTTTCAAAATATAAGTAGCTATTTCAAAATATAGGTAGTAGTTACTCTTTATAACATGAGCTTACATGAGCCTTATAACATCTACCAGTGAAAGTCCCGTCAAAATAGGTCCAGCCGTTTCGAAGATTAGTCGGAACAAACCGACAGACAGACAGACAGACAAAAACTTTAAAAATTGTGTTTCTGTTATAGGTACCGTATATACTTTTATATGCAATTAGTAAAAAGCTGTTGTTTTGACATTACAAAGAGACACTTCAATTTTATTTATTTGTATAGATATACGCTTCATCCTTGCCTCGTCATTGCAATTTACTCCTATACGCGTTCACTAAATATGTGAACTCTTTGTTGGCGGATAATATTACATTTCTACTCCACATATCAACAATACTATAATATTATATTATGTAATGTAATTACTAAGTTTTGAATTAATTAATGAATGAACGTAATACAGCTAGAACATCATTTGCTGAAAATTTTTGCATTTGTATTTTAGTGTCACAATTTCTCCATAAAATACAAAGACTTGTATGTATAAAATATTAAAAAAAGTAACATTTGACTGACTTCAGGACATTTGATAACAATGATTGTTGGTGAGTGATAACTAATATTAAATATTTGTCTACGGTAGTTGAAATAAGTGTTAGTACACAGAAAATTAGTTTTAAAATTTAGAAGGAGCAACATTATAACGAAAACATTAAGGTTTTTTTTGATAGATCCTCTAAGGAAGTTTTCGTAAAAAGATAGAACATTTTATTTTAAACAGAGACAACGTACAGTGAAAAAAAATTAGGTTGTAGGCATTAGGTAGTACTGAATATTCAAATATTAATGAAAAACTCTTCAAGCAACTTATATTCTATATTCGTAATACAATTAATGTTTATAAACAGAATTGAATTTTATTATAGTTATACACATCACGTATTATTACTTCATTCCATGTTCCAAATATGTTAATTAAAGCGTAATGTATTTCATTACATAAATTAACATATATACACAATATACATGTTAACACATCAGTTGCATATTAATTTTATAGGTCCGGAACTTTCACATCAATACCAATTTTCCGCTCGCTTCGACACAGTCAATTAGGTTTACGACCTCCAGATTTTGCATTACTTTGATTAAAAAGATGATTTTAAAATATTTTTTTAATTAGTTTTTAATAAGTTTCCTATTTTTCTAGAAAGTTTGTTATATTATTTTTATTTTGTTTTAATATGAATTTTTTTATTTATATTTAACAATAACATTTTAATAAATGGATGTAAGATAATACAAAACAGATTAAAAAGAACATTAAATGTAAGACGTAACTTCTACCAGCTCCATTCTTTTGTTCTATTTCAAACGTGTCAATAATTTTACGAACTTTGTTGCTTAAGTTTAATTTACTAACTGTATTTGAATGCAATGATTGAAGTGATCTATTTGATAAATCATCGGAATTAGTAATTAATTTTACACCTTTGATGATATCGGTGAAAATTTCTTTATCGTCTTCATCATCTGATCTTTCAGCAGATCCAAATTGGTTATCAGGACCTTCTAGAGGCGTTGAAAACTTATAATCTTCTTTGTTGTTAACTGTGCTTAGATCTTTAATTCGATCTGGTCCAGGTATTTCTGAAAGAATAAAATATAATCAAGAAAAAATTTGGCGTTTGTCAATAATATTTTAAGATTTATTTTGCGATGTACATATGTATATACAAAATCTCTAGCAGTTAAAAAGGGGAAGTAGTAGTTATAGCAAGAGAATAGAAAAGTATACTACATTTTTTAATGAGAGAATAGCGATATATTTTAACAAATTATTTCAGGGACATATCATGCATAGTTATATAATAAATATATCACAATCTGATATCTATTATCGACTATCAAGGAATAAATTGATTGCTGTGCCTAAGCTAGATGCCCATAAAACTTCTCAATACTGGAGGAACTTAATATCACGGAACGTCTGTTTTTATAAGTTTTCAGAAGATCTTGGAGTATTTGAGACAAACTTTTTTTTCAGTAACGAAGCCTTTTAGTCCTCAGTGGTGAGAAAATTTCTGTATTTTGATTTTAATTAAGGATAGATAGACAATTTTTTTAGTGATCATAAGGAATTTTTGTTCTTTCTATGCATATTTATATGCATATTTACTTTATACAATTCAATTGTTTAATATATAAATATATATATATATATATATATATATATATATATATATAATGAATATAATATTAAACTAAACCAGCCAAGCGAAAAAAAGCAAAACAAAACCGGAAATTTTATGCACCAATTTAATTTTTGCTAATTGACTGATCCATACTTTATCTATAGAGTATGGATGGAATCTTCTTCTGGGTCTGCATAACAATTAAGCTACTTTAGTATTTTTTTAATACTTTAATATAATGTTTTAGGCTCAGAGAGCAAAACTGCTCACTGGGGGATAATAACGTCAATAACGCATTCATTAATTAAATCATTTATACAGTGTTGTGACATTTGCAGCCACATTAATTGTAACCCACAAAAATAACACAAAGCGAAATAATAAAGAAAAGCCCTAAGGCTTCTGAAAATTAGTTGATGTAATCTCGATATTTTGTCTTAAAAACTGTCATGTAAATTACAAACCATTGGTTTGTAATTTTAGTTACTCTTAATTAACCAAAAAAAAAACACATCCTACATATACTAAGCCAATGCTTAACCACAACCCTACCTGCTGGTAAGTGATGATAAAGCCCTCGATGGGAAATCGCACTGTCTTAGCGTAACAAAAGCCTAGAACCTATTCCCTTGAAGACGCCCAGATAGTATTCGGACGAAAAAACAGACGTCAGCAAATTACTCAACTCCTTTGCTGTAAGCATTACAAAAAAAGAAGCAAACTGTTTGGCTCGAATGCGTTCGACAACAGAGGAGTGAAGACCTGCCACCGTTTGGTTGTTCGATGGTGGAAAGGGGAGGGAGAAATTAAATCATGTAATTCCTGCACACACTCTCCGAAATGCCTCTTATAGAAAAACGAGAGGCTTGTTACTCTGCGCCTGTGCTCTAGGCTTTTTTTATAGGAGAGGGGGCAAACGAGCATGTGGCTCACCTGATGGTAAGTGACTACCGCCGCCCATGAACGACTGCAACACCAGGGAGGGAATTGCAGATGCGTTGCCGGCCTTTTAAAAAGGAGTGCGCTCTTTTATTGAAGGTCCCTAAGTCGTATCGGTCCGGAAAAATCGCTGATGGTAATCGATTCCACAAGGAAGTCGTGCAAGGAAGAAAACATCTTCTAAATCTCACAGTGGTGGACCGCCCATCATCCAGATGGTGTGGATGGTATCTGGAGTTCTGCCGCGATGTGCGTTCGTGAAATTTGGCGGCTGGGATTAATCCGAACAATTCCTCAGAGCACTCCCCATGGTAGAAACGAAAGAAAATGCATCACCGATGCATGATCACGATCTCTGCGGATGGGACCTGTTGTAGCAAGGAATTTGTAGCCATTTGGACGTGGTCGATGAGTCGGTCTGTTTCGGCATTACCGCTATGGGACCTATAGAGGCACCCGTAGACGCGCGAATGGTCGTCGCTGTCTACGCGTAGCCAAAGGATGGACAGGTCCGAACCTTCAAGACTGCCGAGGCGTCGAGAACAGATGTCCTCTCTGACATACACGCAAACTCCAGCCCGAGGCACAAAGGAATGCTCCAATTTGTACCCCGGGTAGGAGAGATACGAAATATCAGCCGGAGAGGAAACCTGCGTCTCGGTCAGAAAGAGCAAGGCCGGTTTCGCCGTCTCGAGATGGTAGTGGACGGCGTTTAGGTTAGAGTGAAGTCCCCTGATGTTGCAGAAATTCACGGATAGCGTGGCAGGGGTCGCCTTGGTGTACTTGCTCATTTTGCCCCGAGCAGTTATGTTTTTGAGCGGAATTTTGCCCCCCCCCCCCCCTCCCCAGTATACGCGGGGCAGCCTGAGCACCCACGCTCAGGAGTGGAATAACATGGTCGTGGATGCTCAGCGAGGGATTCTCCAGGGGCACTGGTACCCTCCTGGGGTAGTCTTTCGTGTAATTCCACTACCATGTTGATGGGGGGGGGGGGGGGGAAATTGGGCCTCCGGCCACCTGCACTCACCAGACGAAACGCAGAAGCAGAGCTTCTACTTCACGCCGGTATTCTGTGAGGTCGTGGTACCAACCCGGCTCGAGCCGGCCCATACGTGCAACAGCAAAAACTGCTGCGTGGCTCTACCATCGTTAAAGACACTGACAAGATTGGTTCCAAAACCAAGTTAAACAATGAGCTTTTTAACACGTCTTTCCACTGAGTCCATATCAAAAGTTCTTCATTACTACCTGACAGCGAAATGGTGATTGAAGTACCATAAATATGCTAGATTTTGCGATTTATATGGAAAAAAAACGTGGCCACTTCTCCGTCGCGTACTCCTAGCTCGACTTTGTCTAGCACAGACCGGAGTGCATTCGCACTCCGCAGATTTCTGTACCACTTTTCCCGCTACCCCACCTGTGTGTGGCCAGAAGTTTAGTTGGATTTCCTCTTCAGAAATAAAATTTCTATAGACTGTAAAACTGTAGCTCGAAGACATTACTTAAAAGGCCAGTATTGTATCAAGAGAAGCTAAGGGAGAGACTATTCTTACCACGCATTCATACTACACCAAAAAATCTACCGTTTATTTATAAACGATTAACAATTCCCATTATAAGTATAAGTAACCTAGCACTTTCGATGACAATTAACAAATCAATATCGTGGTATGGTGAGGACCTTTGATTCTTATATAAAATATAAGAACTTACTTTTTGTACACGCCCCTAGCTGTTCCCACAAAGGTCGACTATACAGGGGCCCATACAGCTGTAGACTCGACGGATAACTAAGGACGGGACCCAAATGGCCTTATGGACAATTGACCTACACGATCGGGATAAGGCTAGGAAAATTAATACGAGTTACCTGGTTCAGAAGCGGAGACTGGTCATAAGGCTCGGTCAGGCGATAGGTGTAGTGCATGTAAGAGGTGTTTTTTCTCAGTGTGTAAAAAGGTGTGGGGCCTGACTTAACCCTTTTAGTCGGCAGCAACCCTGACTCTGGCACCACCCCACGGTGTGGTATTCTCCAGCGGCGTCACCAATGGACAATTTCTTTCTTCAATTCACTATGTCAGTCTATCAACTTTATTGTCCATTTAACTAACTTCAAAACTCAACTAAATCCCGTTAATTATAATCAGAAACGTAACACGCGGTACGACTGATGAACAGTGGGTCAAAGTTCACTTCTGTTCACTCAGCAATGAATTATTTCGAGAACCGAACGCGACCTTCTAAGGCACATAACGCAACGGTACAGTTAAACATTAACTTCCAAACAATAAATAAATCCGGCGTCGACTTTTCTAGACTCCACAACTTCTCGTCGTTGCATACATTTGCTAACAAAATCGACACAATCAGAGGTTATTATGTACGTGATCACGCGGCCCGTGTATATTCACTGCAATACTACGACCCGGCCGCCGCTGGCGTAAAAAAACTGCCCGATCTCCCACGCGTCCGGCGCATGAGCGGGGAAGCGCGCGCGAGCCGCGTACCAGTTGGTGCTAGGTACGTCGGAGGAGCGCGCCGACGCGCCCCATTATGTTGTTTTTAAATTTTAGCGTTTGGCGCAAATAAACCCCCGTCCCGGACATAAGGACTTATGCCTGCGAGCAAAACCGGCAAGCGGGACAGGGTCGCGACGGCACGTTGCAAGACCGAATCTACAACCAAAACTTGGCCACCTTAGGCACCCCATCAGATCTTGCAACCTTAACCACCGCCTCAAAATAACGCCCCAATGTGGGCAAGTCGGAGGGTCGAACCTCCACTGGATGCCCATCCTGGACATCGCAGCACCTAAGTAAGTCCTGTTACTGGACAGAAGTCCGACGACCTCTTTCAAACACCTATCTGTGCCCCTAAGATTCGTTCCGCAATCCGACCGGATCAGGTCTGCAAACAGCGACGCGATACGAAGCGGCCCAGCTTGACCACCTAAGCTTCAGTGCAGAGTGCACCCACAAATTCCACATGAACGTCATCTGTGGAGAGCCCAACGAAACGCACAGATAGACCTTAGTATGATTTTTCAAGCAAGTAGGCATAACCAAGCCATCTACCATATTATAATCATTTACTTAATTGTGCAATAGCTGATTTCAATCTGATAATCTCCCAACTAGCTAGGCTTTTTAGACACATAGTCCTATGCTCATATTTCAACCAAGTTTCAAAAGCATCAATGTTCAACTACTGAATTAATTCAAACAAATTAATTTACCGATGCGCATAGATCAAACAGACAAATTAAAAAAAAACGATAAACGTAAGAGATAGCCTTATTTCTCTTTCCAAATAAACATCTTCGACAGTGCCTCGAAAGAATGTGAAAACGAAGAGAGGAATGATTCTTATTCCATTCGGCACAAATAGGGTTAATCAATTTCAATTTTCTTTTCAACAAAGCAAACACAATGATCAAATACATTTAGAAAACCATATGCACACGCATTCAAAGAGCACATCATTCAATTCGGCTTTTTACTAACAACCGCTACA